TAAATTTTTAATGACTTTAATCTTATTAAATTAGTAAAATTCTGTGAATGTTATACTGAAATACAACAATATAAAGTAATTATGAAGACGTATATCTTTATAAAATCGATTGTAATTTTCTGTAATTTGGTATTTTAATCATTTATCTCATTTTGCTCCTTTTAATTTGAAATTTTAGTTACTTCTATAATTATTCATGACTTATTTTGTTCTTGAAATAACCTATTGTGACTATAGGATGGCATCGATATTTAATTAAAACGTAAATTTTCAAACAAATATATAATATAATTGAATAAATTTAGAAAATCGAATAAAATTAATGTAATAAAATTAAAGTAATTACAATTACAGTTAATTTGTTAAAATAATTTTTAATGCTTATAATTATTATTCAATTCTTAACAAATCTTAACTGAATAAGACAAATAATTAACAATATAATAATTATTCTGCATAAATAATTTCTTTAAAATCCTTATTTTCAATAATATTGTATATTAAAATGAGTGTATAAAATAAGAGAATAAAACGATATCATTTTATATATTTATAAATAACGGGATATTAAAATTTTACAATTTTTAAAGCTATAAGTTAATATTTCAGACCTTTACTAGACGTCAACAGATACTAATTGATACAATAACAAAATGTGCAATCTCAACGGCACTGATTTCGAGTTATCTACTCAATATTTATCAGAGATCGAACCACAAACCACAAAAAGTGTAGTAATTCACTGACAAACATTTTCCCATAAAAATATAAAAGACGCGGACGTGAATTTAATCCTCGATATGAATAGAATATGTTTTTGCAATTTCGTAGGATATAAGTCTGATAGATTAACGATCACAGAGTATAAGACTTAAATAATTGAAATATTTAATGGATAAGAAGTTTATTCTCTAAAATATTTGTATTGAATTTTCGATAAAAAGCATGGTTAATTGTTAAATCGAGTAGCATTTGTATAAGTCATTTTCATTCGTATCAATTGTCAATTGTCATTGTCAATTGATCATAGTAATGAATTGTAACGACAGTTGTTTATTAAATCATTATATGTTATTTAAGTGAAAAAATAAAATAAAAAAAAAAAAAAAAAACGTAAAACTTTCTCAACGTCAAATTAGAAAATTATAATTTGTTTTGGTGGTATAAACATCGACATTGTTCACAAACATTTTCTCTTACTTACTCTACACACGTAATACTGGACTGCGAATAGCTCGAGGCAGTATGATCATACAATTACTTAGAAAGACTATGTTGAAGAAAATAAAATTTAAAGTTTATATATATTTCTAATGAAATGTCCATAGTTTTGAGCTTTATTTAATTTGTGCCATTTACATTTAAAATGACGTCTCAATTCTTAAAGGAAAATTCATCGTGAATATTTAGAAACTTATGGTTACAATGGAATTTATGAACATTAAATTTAAAGTACATTATAAAAGCATTTTTAAAAGTCTTTACTCTGTTCGCAGTTTGGAGTTTTTTTTTAGATATGCATCTTCTTAATTTATATTATTTGCCACAATGTGACTATAGATAATGGTACCACAATATGATTTAGTTTTTGTTTTTTCCAAAATTCTTTGATAAATACATATATAACAAGAAAATTTTTTCTCATATTTCTTTAGTAATATTCAGAAATATTAACGATTGAAAAGAGTCACACAGACTATATGAAACGTGAATTAAAAAAATATTGTTGTCAATTAGGTTTCATTACAAAATAATTAAATTTATAGTCTACGAATTACGATGAAAATTTATTGTATAGCAATAAGCAAATTTTTAATTCATAACAAATCAATACCACAACAAAAAAAAAAAAAAAAAAAAAAAAACGGAATAATAAATAGTAATATATATCATGAATATATTGTATATTATAGAATATTGTAATTTATTGTACTTATTGGCTCACAAGGATATTAAATTTATAATTACTATACATTGCAACATAATTATAAAAGTTGTGCTATATAGCTAGATAAATTTGAATAATACGAAGAACAATTTTTTTTCAGCAAGTTTTATTTCATTAATAATATAATAAGTCGAATTATTTCAATGATTAAATGTCAGATTTAATATTTACATATATAATAATTTAATAATGACAATGTATCGATATTAATATGTACCACATATTTAATCGAATATGTATTATATCTAACGAAATTCGATATACACATATATACAAATGTATATTAAATTCTTCTCAACATACATAAACGAATTAAACTTCTATGTTAATTATATACAATTATTTTACGTGTTTTGTGCTAATTGCTTAGACAAAATACAAAGATGTTAAATTTGACATTTTTGAAACTCAATAATTTAAATAATATTAAAAATACTGATAAGCTTAATGAGTATACATTTATAATAATTAATTTTTCATGTTAAAATTTTTATACAATACAACATAATAATGTAAAATTCAAATAAAAAATTATTTATCAAATAATTTCATTCTCAAATATGTAACAATAATATATATATATATATATATATATATATATATATATATATATATATGTTTATTAGAAATATTTGTAGATAATGTACAGTTTTATACAAAGAAAGGTATGGGTCGATGATATTGTTAATTAATTGTTATATCAAAATTCTGACTGACAAAATCAGTAGCAAGTTTACGAGGTACAAAATTAGTTAATGATGTTCTTGCTTTTCAGTTAAATAATGAGCTTAATAAAAAGCTCGAGTAAATTATTCAAAACAATATGAATGGTTACTTTTCAGCTATGTACTTTTCAACTAAATAATTTTAAAAATAATGCGGTAAAAAATAGTATACAATTAATATAAATTATGTTACTGATATATATATATATGTATATATATATATATCATTAAAATTGGATTAAAACTGTTAAATTATTCTTGGTTAAATTCAATTAACTTTAGAAAAATATGAAGTTAAACTTAAAAAGTTAAATATTGTTGAAACATAAATCTTAAATATTTATATATATATTTTTTAAAAAATCTCACTTTTTATAATAATTGCATTGAAATTTTATATAATTTATAAGGTTGGATTTTCATTTTTGAATAATTAAGTATTTGAAATAATTCATTATTCGTAATTTTTATAAAAAAATTACAGTTATATTTATTATACTATGTGAACTTAAATTGGTATATTTAGATTTTACAGATTTAATTCATCGTTAAAAATAATCTTGATATTCTGCATATTCAGATTATCAGTTAAACTGTATTTAGGTATGTAAACATTCACTTTATTATTAAATTTTCAATACATAAATCAATTGCAAAGTTCAACTTACATAATTTATAAGAAAGAAATAAAATAAATTGAAAATAGCTTAAAAATATGATTTTTCATTACTTTGCAAGAAAAATTGATTTATAACATTTAAAATGAATAAATACTTAATAAAAAATGATAATTACACAAAAATACCCCCTCCCCCCAACACACACACACACACACACACACACACACACACACACACACACACACAAA